CTTTCCTTGATCATGGCAACGAGGCCCCTCATGTTTGTCCCTCGTGTTTGTTTGCTGCTCTGTTACCCCTTATAATTGTTTATCAGTCTTCCGGGACTGTTTAAGTAGTTCTGTAACGAAACTGACTTGTGTTTCCAAATCGTTCCGTAGCTCAAGGAATGGAAACATCAAAACAAATACAACCCACTATTGGCTCAAATAGCACTTCAGTGTAGTCAGCCACTGATTTACCTCCCTTCCTAAGCCATGGGGGGAAAGCCCCGCCCTGTGAGATCTCCGGGCTCGGGGTCCCAGTGGCTGAGTCTGTTTCTGGATCACATCACCTGGAGCAAGGTGCTGATCCCCCTTCTGTGGAGTGTCTTCTGTGAGATGAGCAGTGGGCATCTCATGTGGTGGTGGTAAAGGTGAAGCAGGAATGCATTACCGGGTTAGCCCCAGGCTCAGGGGCCAACTCCCCAGAGTTGCTAAGAGTCACATCAGTCTGAGGGGATTGCAGGCCTTAAAGCTGCGGGTACTTCTGAGTTGCCTGGCCGTAGACTAGAGGTGCTCTTGCTCTGTTTTGTTTCGTTTTAATTTATTTTGTTATTTTTGTGCAGTGTTGGGATGGGACTCAGGGACTCATACCTGCTAGGCAGGATCTACTGTGAACCACACTTACGCAGTTGTTCGCTCTGTCCTATGGCGCTCTGCTGGCTCAGCGTGGTGCCCTTTAAATGTCACTGAGTCAGTTCAGCAGTGCCCTTGGGTACCCAACTGCAGTTTATGTGGCTGGGCCTTGGGGCAGGCCACTCCATTGTGACCATGGGAGAAGAGGTCACTTGCAGATGGGTCCTCCCTCCTCCCCAGAACACTCATCCAATCCTCTGCCCATCCTGAGGCCCCAGGGCCCCTGTACTCCACAGGAAGAGGGCTGAGATACCCTAGTGTGTAAGGCTCCACCAGCAGCCTTCTAAAATAACCCAAGCACAGAAGGCCTGGAATGTAGCTGGGCTTATATTTGGAATTGCCGTTGGAAACAATCCTGGCCAAATGTAACACCCATCTGTTCAGGATGGTTTGGAGTAAGAAAATGAGGTGGGTTCAGCAGGAGGGGGCTGGGCAGCTCGAGATTCTGGACTGGAGAGTGTCAGGTCCTCTAGCTCTCCTGTGGCCCTGGAGCCCTCAGCCCCGCCAGCCAAGGCTACTGTAGTCACTGGGGTCACTTCCCTGACTAGAGAAGTTTTCCATTGATGAAACTGGTCTCTCAGTTGGTCTTTCTTCCCGAGCCTTTTACACATTGGTCAGTACTTCAGGTCTACAGAAGTCTGCTTTCTGCTGAGTCTTCTCATCCAAGGAGATCCACTCCCCCCTCCCCTTGCCTTTTGGCACCTAACGCTGAAGGCTCACAGGAACGGGTTGTGATTCACAGAAGAGGGTTCTGTGTTTACCTCAGCGCACTGCAAATGGATGGAAATCCACCCTCTCACCTGGGTGGGGTGCTTTTGCCTGACTGGAACACTGGACATGTCCCAGACTTCCCCCTGGGATTACTTCCTGACCTCTGAAGAATTGTGTGGAATTAGTAGACTTTTTCATGATGTTATTTTAAATTGTTTTTACTTTAATGTAATACAAGTAGATATTAATAAAATATAAGTACTCTTCTATGAAAAAATAAGAGTTCACAACAAAATAATTAGGCAATAGCAATAGTTAATGTACTGTGGCTCATGATCTTAAAAGAATGGCCAAAATGTTACTTAGCATATAAATCACAGACAAATCTTACAAAGGAGAAACAAACAAAAGGACAGAACTTTCTTGTCAGTGAACAAAAAGAAACTACTAGTATAAATGAAACAAATTGGCATATATCTTAAAGTATTTTTTTTGAAACAGTATCTTAATTTGGGAATTACTTGAACTCCCTATTTTGTTTATCTCCTATTTTGCTCTTCATCATGCAGTCATTTTTAATATAAAATCAAGGCAGGCTTCAGTACTCTTGTTCTATTTATGAGCCAAATGCCCAAAAGAAATATTATGCCATGAGGGAAATAAATCTCAGTATGATGGATTTTTACAAAAGATTTTATGTGTTAGAAATCTAATTCCATTGAATGGTTTGGATAATTCTGTGAGTATCTCCCTTAGTAAGAACTCTGGGCTTGGGGGTGGTGAGATTGCTCAACAGACTAAGTGCCTGCTTAGGCAAGCATGGGAACCAGGGTTTGACCCTCGGCACTGAATGCCATGCCGACCCCGCCCCTGGGTGTGCTGAGGCTGCGCATAGTAGCACATGCCTGAAATCCCAGCACTGGAGAGGCTGAAAAGAGGGGAATCACTACAAGTCCAAGCTGTATAGTGAGACCCTGTACCAAATACATTAAAAAAATAAAAATAAAAAAAAAAAGAATTCTAGACTTGGGCTTGTTAAATGTAGGCTCAACAAATGTAGGCCTAAAACTTCATCAACAGTTTTAGGACTAATTTCTATTGGCATAGTTACCTTGGCCATACTGTTGCTAGGACTGATTGGAAATATGTGAGCTAGGAAGGTCACCCATCACTCTCATATGGAAACCCTCAGCTCATGCAGCTGAGCCTCATGCCAACATCCATGCAAATCTGACAGGCATTTACTGGCAGCTCTTATGTCCTTTTATGAGTGGCCTGCCATGTGTCAGCGACAGCATGTTTCTGCCTTGGTGCATGTTCTTTCAAGAAGGAAAATAGCACAGTGATGCTGGGGTACCAGTAGTTGGCTGACGGCACAGGGGATGCGTTCACATGTGTCTGATTTTCTCTTGGGTCACTTAGCACTTTGATTACTCATCTTAAGGCAAGTCCTTTTAGAAAGTCTGACTTATCAGTGTAAGATCAACAAGACAGTCCTTTCTGGTGTATGTGTGGATTCAGACAACCTATTGACAGCTCAAGATGACTAAGAGACGTCTTGGGCACAGGATGAGGATGAATTCTCAAGTGTCTTGCAGAAGGTGCTCTGCTGGCTGATGCCGTAGTAATAAGATCAGCTCTGGTCCCTAGGAAAGGATGTGTGAGGAGTTATGGTGTAACTAGAAACAAGGGTGGTAGAGGAGGGGCCCTGCTGTGCACCCTGCAAGGGCACCTTGGCTTCTACAAAGGTGTGTGTGGCTGAGTCCCAAGTGGAAACAGCTGGTGTGATCATCGGTGCAGATGTGCAACACCAGAGCTGTGGTGCATAGTGGGATCACAGAGCTGCCTTCTCTTGGAAGAGAACAGGCTGGAGGTGTTAGGGAAATGGGAAATGTGGAACTGAGCAGGGAGCGGTCTACTTAGAGCCGCGGGGCCATAGCTGGCATCGGCCTGGCTCGACCCAGGCAGGAAGCACAGCTGGGGCTTGTGCACATGGTCAAAGGCATGGGCAGAACTGTGAAGGTCTGAGGAAGTATATCAAGTGAAAAGGAGGAAGAAGTACCTGGAGAAAACCCCAACAAAGGGGGATTCATGAAGCTAAAGTCAGGAAATTCTTACCTTCTGTGCAAGTAGAAATGGAGGAGAAAAAGGAGGAGGAGACTCACGTCTCAGAAATTCTATTAACAAAAAATCATCCTGACATCTTCTAAAATCATAAAGCAAACATTATACACAGCCATTACCTTAGGAATAGGGACTGCTGTGATGGGAGGAAAGGAGAGAGATTGAGCTCAACTGAAAACATACAAAAAAGGGATGGATTTTATGTCCGAGGTGCTGGGTGAGGGACTGCTGGGTGGAAAATTACGGAAGGTAACCTTTCAAGAGAAGGAGGATCCTAGCTATACCAGCCCTATAGGCTTCTGGCTGAAGAGAGCCAGACATCTGGGCGATGAGAACCAGTCCGATCAGAGGGTGATCGGATGGATCTAGGTGATGCCGAATTCTAAATCAGCTCAGCAGTGTCTAAAACCTATTTCAATGGATTTCATTTTAGGATTGAATTGGCCTGTATGAGTGAGGTTACTGAACTGGGTGATGCTTTATTTTTGTAATAGAAAGGCGTCCTGATAAGCTGAGCAGACTGGGTGGAAATATCAGCAGCAGGGTGTAGAAGATGCATAAGCAGAGAACAAGAAGTGGATTGGTTGGTACAGGTTAAAGCAGAGGGAACTTATCATGCTGGCTCGGGTTGACTGGCCCCTTCATCCTCTGTATTATTAAAAACCAACTTTTCTAAATTCACTTTAATTACAAGACACCTAAGGCCAGTGATTCAGTGTTGATTTGATCTAGGGTGTTGGCCCCAGTCCAGAAGCTCAGCCCCAAGCCCTGGCCTCCCATACATTTTCTTTAACATTAGAATTATTGTTAACATGTTCAAGGGCAGACATGGGTGACTGAAGCCAAGTTTGGTCATAGAAGACCATCAGCTTGTATGGGAAACGTGGTTACATGCACATGAGTGTGCACAGGTCATAGTCCATGGGGTAACACAATTGTCTGCAGGTACATAAATGTGGGTGCTTTAATGCTGGGTAACAGATCAGGTCCCTATGAGTCTGGACAGACACACTCAGTACTTTCTTAAAGTGTTAGGGATGTCTATGGGAAGAGCTGGGAGTCTCGTGAGGGACTATAACACTGCAAGAGTGACAGGCAGTCTGTGTTTGTTCCCTCCAAGAGGAATGAAGAAGAGAAGGTATATAAAATTTTCATGACTTCTCTGTACGTGATTGTTGTAATCTGATATTGCAGAAACAGCCTGGACTGGAGGTGACTATAAAGAATTAAAATAAATAAACAAAAAAACCCCACCTCCCTCTGGCTGACTATTGTTGGGAGCAGCTCAGACTTGTCTGAGCTGGAAGGTTCTGTGGTGTGTGAAGAGCAGTGGTGAGAGGGAAGCAGGGAGGGCCCTTGACTGCAAGAGAGGGAGAGAAATGGTTGGGTTTTAATGAACAAAATGAGATCATGTAATTGCACATTGATTTTCATTGTCACCCAAAGGGCGAGATTTCACATTGGTAGATGGTAAAATTATCCATTTATTTTATTCACAGGTTGTACTCTGACTATCTCTACTTTGCAAGTTCCAATAAATCCGCAGATGACTTCCATGAAAAAGTGGCAGAGGCTCTGCAGCTGTTTGAAAATTGCATGCTTGATTATTCGCTGCGCGCCTGCGTCTACAACAACACCCTCAACAATGCCATGCCTGTACGTATTCACTGAGCACCCTGCAAGGAGCAGGCTGCTTTGTGGTGTGTGAGGGGCATCGTGGCCCTGGGTTTAGCACAGCAGCTCAGGCGGCAGCGTTTTAATGTGCAAATGCCACTCAGCTGCCTTTGAGAGGTGGCAAATGGGACAACAAATCCACGGACATAAAAGCTGGCAATCTGGATGGCCCTTTCAGGGGGCTCCTTGCTTTCTTGCCTGCTGATCAGCAATCACGGTGCTGTCCCTTCCTTCTGTGAAAGAACCAGGGAGCATTTAGGAAGATTACCATTTAGCAAGACTGCTAAAACACACCCAGCAATTAGAGTCACAGACAGGAGGACACCTAGCTCTTGAATTGTATTAAAAGCATCGCTGTACTATGGATTGTTCTGTCTTAGAAATTACCCATCAGTGACTTTGGATATTCTTTGACGGGGTCTCAATTGAAAAATGTTTCCCATTGTTCCTATTATCCATTTTTTTTTTGTGTGTGTGCTTTCCCTTAAGGAGTGTAACTGTATATTTTCAGCCTTCTTTATGCAATAAATTGTTGGTGGTTGTTTTGTGCCATTTGGCTGAAGATGGTTTTCCAGCTGGCTTTGGGTGGTCCTGAGTGCTTCTTCAGTGGGGTTTGTGCTGCAGGTAGTCAAGGCTTCCACTTGGCCCACAGAAGGGTTTTCCAGCCTTGCTCTACCCAGTGGGCAAGGCATGAGCCACTCTGGTGGAGGCTAGGACATCCCAGGGCAGTGGGGCTCAATGCTGAAGCTCTACTCCCTCTGCTTCATTATCCAGGATGTTTTGTCTGAAGGCAGCGTGCAGAGGCAGTGGGCAGGATACCAGGGTGCCTTGCTGGTGGCCCTGTAATTCACCAAGAAGGGCAGGTGACCACAGCTCCAGGCCTTATGAAGGAGTGGCTTTCAAATTTGACAGTAACATGGTTTCAGGTCCCAGGAATCTGTCTTAGCTTCTGAGACTCCCTTGCTTTGCCATCAAATGGGGTAGTAGTATTGCTTTCCTATGCTATTGTAAGGCTTAGAGGTTGATGGTCTTCATGTGGTCTTGCATTCCTGCTTTTCTCTACGTTCCTTGCATGATGCTAGGCTGTGGGGTTGGAGCAGGAAAAGAGCAGGCTTGGGCCTGAGCTCCAGTGAGGCCACCTGGAAGAGTAGACAGAGGCCAAGGATGCTCTGGAGCCCACAGAAACCACTGGGATAGAGCAGTGCAGAGTGTGCTACCTAGGAAAGGGTGTCTGTGCAGAGACATAAAGGAGGAGCTGACCGAGGTGACAGAGTGCTCTACACAGTGGCCAGAGGGGCATTGACGGCATTTGCTGGAGCAGAGCACTGCCTGGGGTGGGAGGAAGGTAGCCCAGGGCAGGGTGCATGGGCATGTAGCCAGGAACTTGGTGAGTCTCAGAAGATGTCTGAATGGGGACAGGAAACCATGAAGGGTTTTCAGTGGGGGATGCGTAGCGTGTGAGTATAGGGAATTATCCTTTCCATCCTCTGATGCTTTGCTGGAGCGTTCTGCTCGTAGGCAGATGAAAGCGGAGGAAAGCTACACAGATTCATTAACACTTAACATGAGAAATAATCATAGCGCAGGGACAGCCACAGAAGGGTGGTCACCCAGTAGGCCAGAGTGATCCAGAAACTTACAGACCCCTCTTTCCATAGGAGAAATAGGGAAGGGAAGTGTCGGGGGAGAAGCGTAGGATTTTTAAGGGAGTTCCGTGGGCTGCAAGAACATAAAATGACCTGGAAAAAGTACATTCGTCCTACAGAATGAACATAGTTTCTAAAGGGTTCTCTGTGAGACCAAAATAGAGAACAGTGGTGTGTGACGGCCTTCCAGACTTCAGCCCTTCTTCCTGTGCTGAGTTTGGTCTTCTCTGTGCATGAAGTCTCAGTAAGATCAGGGCAGTTACGCTTCTCTTCTGTCTGACCAGGGTGGGGAGCTGAGGGGACTTCGCAGAAGGAGAAAACTCTAGCACATTCATTTAATACAAGCTTTACTTGACACAGGAGGCTTAAGAAGGAAATAAAGACCTGAAGCAACAGCTGGATGTTTTCATGAGCATAGATGGGGAAGCATAGAGTAGGAGTAGACGAAGGCAGTGTGAGCTAAGGGTAGGAAAAGAGGGAACTCAGCGAGGCCTGTTGGCTCAGAACCTCCTGTGACTCCTGTGTCTTCAGGGGTGAGAGCAGCCTTCCCCTCAGGTATAGGGAGGGTGCTCTTCCCCGCTCAGACCAGGCCCGGGATCCTGGCCAGCATCAGGGGGGCAGGTTTTGGAGGGGAGAGTGGCCTTCGTGCTCCTGTAGGTGTCACAGTTGCCAAGGTGCCATGTTCAGGAGCATACTCGGTGACCTCTGTAGTGACAGCTGTTCTACCCTGTGCAGAGAGCAGCTGAGTTAGGGTGGCACGGGGACAGAGGTGTCTCCCAGGGGCTGCTGTACAGGAACTGCTGGCCGAGTCAGGGTAGTGGCAAAGGTAGTAGTAGCACAGAGGAGGCTTCCAGAAAGTATGAGGAAGAAGAGGGAAAGGACTTCAGGGTAGATTGGGTCAGGGTGGTGGGATGAAAGGGGAAACTAAATCCTGCATGCTCCGTGCAGTGTCCGGCCTATTGTGGCCCTGTTGCTAGCTATTACTGTGCTCATGCCTGTGACTGGAGGTCCCCAGGCAGGGATGCAAGGGAGAAGAGCTGAGTCCAGGAGAAAAGTGTTAGGCATATGAAATGAGGACCAGCCTCGTCCCAGTGGAGACTTGTTTCTATCAGCAGACACAGGTGTGCACTTTGTGCCCAGCACCCTCATCAGTGCTGGAAGAAATCTGAGCCCCAACTCAGGGCTCTGTCCCAGGGCTCCTCTCTTCCTCCTGGGCCCCTGTTGTGCCGGCTTGGAAACCACTGCTGAGAGACCACCATGGGGCCTCATGTAGCCTCTTGCCCACCTCTTGTTCCTCAGCTTAACTGGTTTTCCACTCACAGGGCTCAGGCTCAGTGTCAGGAAGGCAATGAGCTGGGCAAGGCATGCAGGCAGACAGTTCCCCAGGACTCCTGTTTCCTCCGTGAGGGTGGCCATGGGGCCACTCAGAGTCGCAGAGGGTGACCCCAGCATCCACACAGGTTCGTGCCCCTGAGGTCATGTCTTCGGCTGGCGTGCAGATCTTATTTTGTCAACCAGCATCTGTAACTGCAAGGCAGAGAACGCAGGGAAATCCCTGAGTATTACTAAATGATGTGTTTTGATCTCTTTAGGGCTTCCTCTTATAGGAACCCTTCTAGCCAATCCAGGAGGAAGCGAAGCAGAGCTCTGACCTCACCGGGCCTTCAGCTCAGGAAGGCAGAGCTTGGTAAAAGGCCTCCATGGGGTCTGGGATGGCACTGCAGCCCCAGCTGGCCAGGTGATCCTATCTGCCTGATTGTCCTCTTCCCAGGTGTCTCCCTGATGGAGTCCACGGAGAGTACTGCATGTGGCTGGAAACGGATGGATTCAGCCAGTGTGGACTGTACACCAGCATGGCACTTCCATGTAGGCCCTCCCATGCCTGGGGCTTCCTGTGTACAGCTGGGTAAACTGACAGCCTCAGGCAGTCTGCCTTCTCCTGAAGTCACCTACATAGTCAGTGGAAGAGTGGAAGCACCGGAAGGCCCACATGTAGGCCGTGTGACCCAGCATCCTCCAGGATTCAGTGTGTCCCCAACAGTGCAGCCTTGAGTAGATACCTCTGTACACCACTGTGTGGCAGGTCCTGGGAACTGAGAAAGAAAGTACAGGGTTGCCTGTGTCTGGGGAGAAGGATTATGTGTACCTGGAGCAAGGCATGTGACCCCTCTTTGGTGTTCCACTTCCACCTGGCCTTCTGAACCTTCTGTGTGTGATCCCTTGGGACCCGAGGGGAGCTGGTGCGCTCCCTAGAGACGGGGACTGGGTCAGCGTCACTGTCAGCAGATGACCACATTGAGAGACGCAGTGTCTGCCTGGTAGGGCTTCCAGGAGGGGCTGGAACTGGCTCTTCCAGGCCCTGTTGCCACCAGGTCCTAAATATGCTTAGGCAGAGAGGGACAGGTTCAGGCAGGCAACAGAAGCCTGCTGAGCTGATGGTTGGCAGGGATAGGAAGAGAGCAGAGCTCTGGACTCTGGCAGAGCCCCCTTGATAGCTGTGAATTGTGCTGTGGTCTCATATATAAGTGGGGGTCTGCATGATGCTTGGTGCTTTAGACAATGGGGAGGGGAGTGGGCCACACCTCTTGCACCTTCTCTGGTGACAGGCAGTGCCTGGGGCTAAGGAGGCTAGATGTGCATTTGTCTATCTTTAAATAGGTTTCCTGGAAGTGGGATTTCTATGGTCAATTCCTCCTATGAAAAAGAGAATGTACCCCCCCCCCGCCAGTCCACACTCCAGCTGTGAATGTGGGAACACTCCTGAAACTGGGCCATAAGTACCTGAGTACTGCCTGATTCGCTCCATTTTTGTGCATGCCTGGAAGAAGCATCCTGATTTTTTTTTAAAGGGGAGTTTTAAAAACCCCACTGGTACAAGAGTGGAAGGAAACGGACTCTTGTTAGCAAGAGTACCACCCTCGTTGCTTTCAGATCTCATAGATGCCTAACTTGGCAATAGTGAGCCTTTTAAGAGACCAAATGCCCAAACTGCAATCCAGAACCGTTATTTATTCCAAAGTGCCAACACGGTTATTAAGCCTGAATTCAGACCGGCCAAGGGAATGCTTGGAGAGGTTGTGGCTAAGGAGTCGCAGCCTGTGATGTCACTGCCAGGCGCCGCTGACCATTAGTATGCACATGGTGCCTATTGTACCTGGGGCTTGGCTGCTGGGGCAGTACTGGGGTGACCTGGGTCATATGCTGGGTCATATGCTGACACTGAAGGCTCTGTGTGCCCACTGTGACACACATGCCGTGGGCTGCCACCACTACCCTAAGTCATCCCTGATTTACAGATGGGGACACTGAGGCCCACAGAGGTGCTCCTGCTGAAGCTAGCAAAGGCTCATGGTTCATGTGTGGAGTGCTTAGAAACTTACTGTGTTACCACCTTCCCACTTGGGTCCTAGAAGCAAAGTGTAGAGCCAACAAGAGGCACCGCTTTTAAAGTTAGTTTCTGTTTGGCTGAGGATGACAGGACAGTAGCTAAGCAGGCTCCTCTGGCCCAAGAGATCCCCAGGGCAGGACAATGGACAGGACAGAACTGGTCAGACATGGCCGGAACAGGTAGTTTGCCATTAACCTGGTCTTTTAGAATGAACTCATCAGAAATGCATACTCTGCCCTTCCCCTGGAGCAGAAACCTAGCAAGTGGGGACATCGTCTGTCCCGCAGGTCTGCAGTGCGTGTGCTGTGCCTTCAGGTTTGGGAACCCTCTTGGCTGTGGAGCCTTCTCACCCTTTCTTCTCTGCCCCAAGATGCCTTTTCTTCTTGTTAAAGGACTTCCTATCTCTCAGGTTTCCTTTAATCTCATCATCCGTTTTCTTTGGCCACCTGGTTCGTTTTCTCCAAGCTTGTGTCACGCTGGTGAGTACAGATGCTCGTTCCGTTGCCATTTGGCTGAGCATCCAGGGTGCTGGGCTCCTGCCTAGAAGGAGTAGCATCTCTGTCTCCTAGCCTGGTACCTAGACATGGCCTGAACGCAACAGTATTTTCTGAATGCACAAATGAAGTAGAGGGCGTTTGGGAGGCTGGTGGGGAGGAGCTCCAGCTGAAATCCTGAGCAGTGGACAGAGAGACTCCATGTGGCGCCTGGCCGGGAGAAGCTGGGCCTGCACAGGCTCAGCTCAGCACTAACTCCCTTGCAGTGCTCCTTGAGCGCCCCTGCGGTGGTCTCAGGACTCCCCTGTGCTGCTCCATGGCTGCTCTGAGGGGCTCCTGGGGCTCCGTCTTAGAGCTCCCTGGGCTCCTCAGTTTCTCCCTTGGTGCTTGGGCCTCTGACTCCCATTGCCTCCTGGCCCTAAGCCAGCCCATCCACTGGAGCGCCTGTGCTTCAATCAGTGAGTCAGCTCCCACTCGTAGGTCTAAGGCTTCTCGTAGCACCGCATTTTCTTTTTTGTGGGTGGCCGTGGTAAGACAGAGTCTTGCTGCATGGGACGCAGGAAGTGCACCTCCTCCCCGCCTGTAAGGAAAGCCCTGCTGCAGGTCTTTGTAGTGGGAAGAGGTGGGGATGTGCAGAAGACAGGCCTAAACAAGGTTTCAGAGAATGGTTTGTCATCACACCGGGTACAGGGATATGCTACACCTACTCTAAACACCTGCATCCTGCCATAAACATCTGGCATCTTTTCTCCGAGAAGACTCTCAATTCACAAAGGCAGCTTCTTTACAGACCAACCTGTTCATCGTGGCCTTTTCTGAATCAGAGGAGGGAGGGGGGTAGTTTGCTTGTGAGCTGGCCAGGGAAAGAGAATTGCAAAGCCATGCAAAGCCTGTGATTTAACAACATGATGTTCTCTTACCCATTCTTCTGTGTTGAATGCAACACATGTATTTGTTTCTGAAACTGGCATGTACTAATTTTCTCTGTAGCTTCAGCCCAGCTTGAGGTCTGTTTTATGAGCTGGTGTGTAAGGTAGGGAAGAAGTGTGGGCTGGAAGCAGCTAATGAATTTTGGAGATAACTTATCTGTTCCTTCTAATTGTTTTTCTTCCCTTCCATCTACATCGTTTAAAAAATAATGAAATGGAAAAAGAACACAGAGAGAGATGAAGCTAGTAGCAATTGCACATATTTTTGCCAAATGTATTGTAAATACCTTGTTGAACAATCGTACAGAAAACCAGACTGAGCCTGGTGGAGGGCCTTGTGTGGGCTAGCCTGTCAACAGAGTCGTGCCCCCTGCTCCTAGAGGGCTCAAGGTCAAGCTGGGAAGGAAGCAAGGACTGCAGAGCTTTGCCTCAAGGAATGGGAGCCTTGAGGAGGAGGACAGGGCTGGAAGGCACTCCACATGGGAGGGAGGAGCTAGAAGTTCAAGCAGACCGAGAGCTTTCTGCACGAGGAGCCGTGAAGTCTGAGCAGGGGCTGGCCACAGCCCACCGTGCCTTACAGAGCACCTGCTGGTGGCAGCACAAGGGACGGGCATCAGAACAGGAGGTGGGACATCTGGTTGGGAGCTGTGCCGATGGCTTGGACAAAGAGCAGAGTGCAGCAGGGAGATGGTGAGAGAGGCTGTTCTCACTGCCCTCACTTTTGACAACAACTGCATGTTCTGGAGGGAGGCCCCCAGGCACCCTCAGAGTTCATTAATGTTCTAGAAGGGCTCACAGAACACACTGAAGGCTGCTGTCCCCTGGACTGTGACCCATTCCAGGGGAAGGAAGCAGATTGACATTAGCCAAGGGAAGACGTGTGTGGGGCAGGGGAGGGAGGGTGGGGCTGGGATGATGGTGAGTTCTGGGTCCAGAGCTGCTGGTCCTTTCTTTCCTGGAGTTCTGGGTCGTGCAGGTGCCTTCCAGCTGTGATGAGCATGTGACCACTCTCATAGGATGTTAGTGCCCCGAGGTCTTTCCAGGGCTCAGGCACGTATCAGTCTGCCGCTGACCCTTAGTCATCAGTCCCTACAGAGGTCAGGATCCCCCCTTCATGTCCTGGTACCCTTCATGGGTGACAACATTAGCTTGTCTGTGGTCAAAGCCTCAGGCTAACTGCACTTTTCCTGGAGGGCAGCACATTCCAGGGAACTGGCAGTCACCTCCTCGGAGCCAAGGCCAAAGGTCAGACCTCTCTTGGTGGTTAATTCTTCATGATCCATTTAGCAGTTTGGTGCAAGAAAAGGAACAGAAGGAAGATGACCAAGGCAATGAATAGGTGCAAAGGGGAATGGAGTTACACCTACTGGATTAATGCCATCCTAATTATATTTAGATACTTATGCACACTTGTTTCACTGCACTGGACTGGCACTGAGACACCTGGGCTTGCTTTTTCCCAGAATACTGTGTGCTGGGCATAGAGGTCATACCGGGAGCAGGATCACAGCTGAGGTGTTGTGCAGAGAACATGTGTGCTCCCAGCTGCTGCAGCCTCGACCTCTGTCCAGGACTGCAGTCCCCACCCACAGTGTGGAGGTGGGCAGCTACCTATGGGAGTTGGTAAGAAGCACATACAGCCCTCAGTGAGGGTATGTTTTGCTCTTTTAGCACAAAGCTCCTGATGAAGATGCAGGAGCGTGTGCTAAAATGCAGCTTCTGAAGGCGGTCATTAGCCAGGATGCCTCTCTTATGTTGGTTTGTAGTGAAGTGCCGTAATGCTCCCGGAAAACTGCCTCCAGAAGTAACGTCCCTGTCCTCTTCCCTAGGTGAGGCTCCAGGTTGGGCTGTATGCTGTGTACCTTCTGGATTGGCTCACCGTTTTTAATAAGGAACAGTTCCTCATTCTGCGCCTGGAAGACCACGCATCTAATGTCAAGTACACCATGCACAGGGTCTTCCAGTTCCTGAACCTGGGTGTGTGTTACGCTTCAGATATGGGCGGCACAGCGCGAGTCTGTGGTCACTGGCTCTCTAGGAGGGTGCTGGGCCCAGTGTAGCCACAGTGAGCTGGGCAGAGAGGGCTGCCCAGGAGGCTGGTTTACTACCTGTTTGTCAAGTAGCACCCACATGTGGGTCATTGGGCACAAATGGCGGGGGAGGACTCGCCAGGCAGAGGAAGTTTACAGTCTAGTAGAGGATGAGAAGGGGGCTGCAGGGCAGTACACTGAGTGACGAGCTGCCTACTCTTTGTGCTGAGAGCCCAGCAGTTCCAGCACTATAGAAGCTTCGTGGAAGCAAAGGAAGCAGTTTGAGCTTTGAAGGGATGGCCCTGTGACCATGGGTGGCCGGAGCAGTGCTAGAGGAGCTATGGAGGAAGGAGCAGGCCCTGGCATCGCCGGGGGAGTCTCTAGAGTCAAGGCTGCAAGGCTGGGTTTGGCTGCTGGCCGTGGCTCTGTGGAGGAGCCCAAGGATACCAGACAGGGGTTCTGAGGGACACTGGGCCAGCTTGCATGACACTAAGTTGTGGCAGTGACTGACAGAGGCACATGAGCGAAGGTGCAGAGTGCTGCCTAGGTGGGTAGTCACCAAGGACATCCTGGAAGGCCAAGTAGGGTCAGAACAAATTGTGTTTCTTCCCAGAACACTTAGGGGGCTCTCTGTAATGATCTTGCCTGGGAATCTTGTTAAATGAGTATTTTTTGAACTATCCCTGCCTACCACTGGGACTCAGGACCCTTTAGTCATTTTCTTTTCTCTTTCCCTTTTTTTGAGCACTGTTAATATGTCAAAATAGGGTCACTTTGTTCTTTGATATAGTCACCTGTGGTCTCTGTTACACTAATGAGCTCATCCTTTGTCTTTAAGAAGGACAGCAAGACCCATTTTCTATCTGGCATAACCCTAGGACACTAGGATACACTAAGGACTTTGGCCAGATCCTGAGAGCCTGGGCTCACGAGGCCGGAGCAGTGACGGAGGCAGATGGGTTCAGCCTGTGAATAGCTCGTGGGCGAGCCGACCAAGGGTGGAGTGGCAGCCCCTGCTGGCTCATCCCAGGGCCTGTCCTCAGGACGCATGTCCCATATGTGGGTCCTGGACACAGGTGGCCTATCCCCACTACAGCTTCTTCACAGCAATACACGTAGCTCCCGGGCACAGAGCCCTAGGCATTCAGAGCCTGAAGTGGAAATAACTGGGAGAATCGCAGAAGGCTTGCTAGAAGGTAAAGCTCAGGCCCTGGACTGTGCCTGGCAGGTCATACAGCTATCCAAGACAGGCCAAGGGCAGTGGAGACCAGCCCATGAAGGGCATCCGGACTTGAATCCCTGAGGTGAGCCTTAGGCAGAGGTGGCATCTTAAAAGACCAGCCAGGCTGCCTTGAAGGTGGAGTCAGACACCAGGCCACAAGATTTCTTTGCAATTTCATAATGGTAGTTCTGCTTTCTCCCTCATCTCCACATGGATTTCACCAAAGAATTTGAATCCTCAAACGTGTCCAACTTAAAAGAATCTCCTGTCTCAGCCTGAAGTATAACTGGGATTTTTGCAAAATTCTGCCATCCTTTCAGCTCTGTAAGCCTCTTTCCCTTCCCTTCCAGGGCCCCTAAGTGAAAAGCAAGAGGCCTTGATGACCAAGAGCCCAGCATCCAACGCGAGGCGTCCTGAGGATCGGAACCTGGGGCCCATGTGGCCAGTCACAAAGAAGATTCTGCAGGATTTCTACGGGCCTTTCAATGCCAGGCTGGCACAGGTTCTCGCTGATGAAGCCTTCGCGTGGAAGACGCCCTGAGAGCCGAGTGCTTTAGGCACTGGGCCCACCGACTCTATCTAATTGCCTTGACTCTAACAGTCTGTGTGGGTAGGAAGCCGTTTTACTCACAGTGAGGAGAAAACCCTGGAGACTCCAGTCTTCTCTTTCTCCCCAGGCACCTGTTAATTATCTCCATTTCAGAACTTCCTTTCTGATGTTCTGTAGCTCAGAGGCCCCCTCACAGAGTCCCTCTACCTGAGGCCGCTGGAAGCTGCACTTGGCAGGAATTCAGCTCTGCTGCAGGAGTGCTCGGAGCTGTGAGAGGAGGCCGTGGGAGGTCACCGCTGAGCTCTGCCTGCCCACCCTCTGGAGTCTGGGGCTTGACAATTCTGGGATCAGATTAAGCAGCTAGAGGTCATGGCCCAGGGGTTACCAGAACTTCAGTTTCACATGCACTTTCCAGCTCGGAACATTCTCTGTTAGATCTTGGCCTCATCTGTGCAGAGCCCAGCCTCTCTGGAGAACGGAGGCTCTTTGATTTTCATTTTTACTCCCCCAGGTCAGCCCTTCGGCGACATTAACAAGCCCCACCTCCTCCTCCATGTCCTCGTACATTTGTGTTTAGTGTAGAAAATGGATACATGTAAAACACGCTGCTTTTTGCATTTGCCTGCCCCTAGCTCTCTTTTCTCCTTCTTTAGATGTTTATTTAAGAAATTCAGTTTATATTTGGAGGGGAAAGTCTTGCTGTCAGTGCTAGAATAGAGCAATTTAAGGAACTGAACGTTTCCCAGTCGCTCTTGGTAACTGAAGCCCTCATCCTGCATCGAGGGCCGTGCGAGAACTGAGGGTATTTCGTTTTTTCTTCTGCCGGCCACATATTCCACCCCTTCACCTTCCCAGCTGGGGGGAGCTTGTTATCCATGTTTTCCACCAAGGGTGGTCAGAGTTCCTTACTCAAGGAACTGTGAGGCATTTGTGTCCTGAATCAGAAACACAACGCACAAGCTAAACTTGGACTGAACATGGAGTCCTGGGTTGCGGAATGTGATTGCCAAAAGCAGTGTTCCTAATGGAACTTTCCAGTCCTTGGGGCAGTGTTGTTTATGGTGCATGTGCTGAAGGCCTTGGAAGTTGCGAGGAAGACTGGAGAGGGTGTTAAGCCCACTTGGCGGACCCAGGACAGGAGGCCAAGCATTGCGCTGAGTGTTGCTGAGGGAGGCTTCCTGTCACCCGTTGTTCCCAGAACACTAAATTCCTGGCTGTAAACTGCACGTGCGAGGTGGCCTGGCTTTGGTGGAGTGAGGATCTGTGATTGCTCAGCGGTCCAGCCCTACTGCTGCGATCATTCTGTCATCAGAGGCAGGAGACCAGCCCACGGGCAGGTGCACACGGAGCTCTCAGCACTGGTGTGTCCGGCCCGGGTTCTGCTACTGAAGGAGCTGCATTTTTTGAACACCCACGTGCAAAGACCAGCCCCGCCTTCCCCTCACAGCCGGTGCTCAGAGCAGCAGCCAGCGGGAAAATCTGGCCCGAGCACAAGGACGCTTTAGGGAGATATCACTTCAGAGTGTGCGTGTGCGTGTATTTATTTGGAGCAGAGCGTGTGCATGTGTAGGTGTGTTTTCTGAGTGGGTTCCCCTCAGTTCTGTCACTAATGAGGCTCCTCCGCTCTGGACAGGAAGCCCTTGAAGATTCATTTCTCTGCCAATTAACTTGTTGTTTCCAGTATATATTTTACTCTTCCACACCGACCATGATTACGAGGGATTTTCCTCATGCACTTCTATGCATGTGAATAACATGTAGTGTAATCTGCTTCTTACAGAAGTACTACTTGAAGATATTATTTCCAATATTATTTGGTTCATTACTGATCTTTTTTATATACACAGGCCCACCCCTTCTGTGCCACCCAGGGCCATCAGACGTGGTGTTCTCTCTCGGGCCTCTCCAGAGGCCACATCTGTTGCCTTTGTTCTCTCTCTGTTGAGACCCAGCTCTTGTTGATAGCACAGGTACCATTTCGGGCGGTGGCTCACTAGCCTGTCACCCCAAACCAAAGCGAGATGGAGTGTTTCTCCCAACCTGGTATTGGAGTTACTTTGTGTTCCCACAAGCCGTGGATGGATTGTATGAAACTGTACACCCTTAGTCCTGTAAGGTATGTTATGTGAATCACTGTTATGCTGTACTTTTAGTAATATTTAACATAATTAAAGATGGACCCAAGCGACTGGTGCCTGAAGAGTCTGTGCCCCCCTCATTCCAAGCAGCCTGTCACTTTCTTCCATATCATGTCAGATGTGCAGGAGCCTGGTGGGGGCCAGTCAGCACCCACCTGGGCCAAACACTCCCCTCCCTGTATGTGAGGGGACTTAGTGCAGAGGGCAGCCAGTCAGAGGAGGGTAGGATCCTGCCCTTAGCAGCGGAAAGAAACTCAAGCATGGAGACAAGGGTGAAGATGTTTTGGGAACTTCCTGGAAGAGTTGAGCGTGCAAGTAGGGGTGGTGGTGTGGTTTAGCTGCAGTGGGCCTCCATTGTTTTAGATGTTGGAGTTTGCAGGGGTGACTTCACCCCTCTGGCTTTCATGACTTCCGTGGGTTGCGAGTCCGAGACTCTTGTGTCTCTAGGTACCTGTCATCATCACTAGACTTTCAGTATCCTGCTGGGCTCATTGGGGGCTAGGGTACTGACTACTGTGGACTACGTAGCTTAGACAACAGACCTTTGTTCTTTCAGTCCTGAGGCTTGGCCAAGGCCAAGTGCCAGCAGGTTGGTCTCTCCTCTGTGCGTGCCCTCCTCTCCTCAGAAGGACACCAGTCAGATTAGACAAGGGACCACCCCAATGACTTCATATAATTTAATCATTTCCCTAAACATTTTGCCTCCAAATATAGTCATATTCTGAGGCACTGGGGGCTTGAAGGGGGACACAGTTCAGAGGTTGTCTCAGACATGGTGCTTGGGAAACCTGGGCCATCCTGGCATAGCATGGACCCTGGTTAGGAAGATGTCCCTGAGAAAGCTTGTTTTTCTTGTGCTGCCCTTGACATGATGCACTGGGGTTGGGGGATTGGTGCTCAGGCTGAGAAAAGAGGAGACCACATCCCTTCAGCATAGGCCAGGAACAGCTTAGCTCAGCAACAGTGTCTGCTCAAGGAGGAGGGGGATTGTGTGGGGAAGCTGGGAACAGGACAGCTGAGGTGGAGCTCTGAGGACTCCCTTTCCCTGGACCTCTTCCCAACACCCCTCTGCCACATGGCCACCCATTCCCCTCAGGAGCCAGGTCAGGAATGATTCTGATGAGGCTCATGCTCTTCCTCCAAATGCTCCTACCTGGGATTGGAGGCAAAAACCATAATCTTTGTCAAGGGGAAGAAGAATGCCATGCAGGTTGGGGACTCCTCCTGTGGCTCCACTTGGCCTGAAAGGAAGGTGGATCTTGTGGAGACTCATAGGAAAACATTGCTTTGTCAATTTGGATTTTCCTAGAACTTCAGGGCCCACAAGTCCCTTTTTCCATGTAAGAGAACTTATGTCCTGGTTGTTGGGGTTACACTGTGGTCATCTTTGGAAGTCATTATTCAGCTGACCATGAAAGGTGGACCAGTGAGTGACCTGGTCAGCAAATGGACCGATGTGGGTACCCAATAGCCCATCTGTGTGCTCTTCCCTGTGAGGCCCTGACAGGGCTTAGTGGGCAGCAGTTGCCCAGGAGAGAGCTGAGCTGCTGGGTGGCTAACCTGCCCTGAATGTCCTCAGTTGGAAGTGGTGGAGCTAGTGATGGTTTCACATGTGTAGAGTCAAAAGCACAGAGTACCCAAGGAGTGCCCTGAGGGCATGGAGTGCCCCAGGGGAACAGGTGGTCCAGCCCCAGGAGCATGGGAGTGCTGGTAAGGGGCAAGGGGTGAACTAGTTAATTAAAGGGGCATCATATGACAAACGTATAAATAAAGGCATGGCGGTGGTTGGGTGGTTCCTTTCCTCCTACCTGGAGAGGGGTCTCCACCTGACCTCAGCTTTCTGTCTCTATTTCTCCATCCTTTTATCTCCTTCCTCCAGGAACTTGGAGAGCCATGCTGGATGCGTGGCAGTCCTCTTGCCCTGATCTGACTTGGAGGGACAGGAGGTTGATCACAGGTCCTTCTACGCTGTTGCTCCCCAGGAATATCCCCAGTGAGCGAAGACCCTGCTTTTAGCCAAGACAGAGCTGTCTCTCCTCTCTGGTAGCAGTGATTTTTTGAATGCTTACGGATTTGCTTCTTCCTATGAAGTCACACTGTCAGCTCCCCAGCAGGCCTACTTGCACCCACAAGTCCAATTGGAGTTTCTCTAGTCCAGCTGTCACTGAGTTCGTTATACTTCAGAGAGAGAGAGAAGCTTGTGAAAGACACAAAATGGAAATATTTTCTAGTCTCCAAGAGGATGTCCTTTCATGGCCTTGTGGCCTCCAAGGCCTCAGCCTCATCTACTTCACAAGGCTGATATCTAACCTCCCTGGCATTGTCCTCCTGATGGCCCCAGGCTGGCCTTGCCCCCTGGAATCTACTAGTGGCCAGTGGGAGGTCAGTGGGTCCCTGTAGGATGCTATCCTTGGGGATCCCACATGCTAACATGAGGGTAGAGACAGTGGACTCTCATGGAACCACTGCAGGGCAGGGATTTGGGCTCAGCAGAGCAGCTGTGCATTTTAATGTCTGCCTGCATGTGGCTGTGTACTTCTCTGGGCCCAAGGGCCCTAGGGCAGCCCTGTTGCCAGGCTCTTCACCATTAGGCCCATGGCAGAGGAGGCAGGATGTATGTGTATGACTCTTTCTGAGCAGCAGGGCTGGCTGCCCTGTGGGTGCCTGCCTGGCTTAGTGTCTGGTGCATATAGAAGATTGTGAATGGAGCCTTCTGGCCCACAGTGAAAGCTCCTCTCTGGGGCAGCAGCCTGGGGGAGCCTGGGCTGCCATGGGACTCTGAGGGGGCTTTCTGGGTGCTTCCCAGCTCTCTGCTCCCTGAAAGGCCCCTTGAGCACCAGGCCCCAGTGAAATCTAGAAACAGACATCAGTTGAGCCTGAAATTCCGGCCTACCAGAGACATGTGATTTGCCTAAGGTAGCACAGGAAGGTGACAGCAAGGACCCTGAGCTGTGGCTCCTGGCGGCCCCCCTCCTAGTTGAGCAGAGAATGGTGGAGAAGTGCCCACCCACCCTGCTACTCCCAGGCCTGCCTGCCTCCCTGTCTTCTGTTTTTCTCCACCAGAAAGGGTGTTTTGATTTTCGACCTGTGCTCTTCGACCCTTGAAGGAAGGAGGTAGAATGAGCTCTGGGTCTCAGAGGAGCTGAATTAAATGCCTGGTACCCTAGCAGAGGGCTGGGACAGCCATCCCATAGCCTGGGGGGCACCACTGTCCCTATTTGTACTCATAGGTCTGACGTATGAGAGGGTGTCAGAGCTGACAATATAAACTGAGGGTCAGAGGTATACCATTGTCCAAGGTCACACAGCTCAGGTCCTTAGAAGAAGAGCAGGTGGTGAGCTCAGATAGCCTTCTGTTAAATGTTGGTGTCAGTGCTTTTGACTGTGGTGCACACCACCCCTGCCCTGCAGCCTGCCCTCACCGCCTGCCTGTATTCTGAGCATCAGGACTCCTCCTCTTGCTTTTAGCCTAATTTCAAATGCTCCCTGGGGAGGACAGTGGCCTCTGGGGACTGCTAGCATGGAGCTTTCTGTGGGGGCTACCCATGCTGGGCTCCAGTTGGTGAGCAGAGTCTACAGAGGACAGAGAAGGTTCGACTGGCCAACCCCAGCATGCTGCTCTCCTTCCAGCCAACTAGTTAAGTCTCCCACATGCGCAGACTCAAGGACTGGTTGTGGCTGGGAGTCCCCTGAGACCTGAGTCACAACTGTGGACTGCCCTGCCCTCTGGACTCAGCCTCAAAGGTATCAAGGTACACACCTGAGGCAGAAATTATACAAAGAAAACAACATTTCATCTTACCAGTAGAACTTTCTGTAACATCGGCTTTGTACAAGGTGGTGGGCCGGCAAGGGGCGGGGCAGGTTGTTCATTCCCTTACTCACCAAAACCTCCCAGTGAATATATTCATTTGTATCATAAACATATATGGATTCCAGCATTTTAGAAAACAAGTTTTGGTAAAGACCCCACTATGAGGTACCCAGAAGAGCAGCCTCGATTCCCACCCCACCCCTTTCCCAGGGTCCACTGCAGAGGACAAACATTGATCAGAAACGGACAGACATTGATGTGGTACTGTGACGCAGAACTTCAACAGCTGTGGGGAGAGGTTCTGGGCTAGGGACACGTTCCTGATGAGACCCCCATACCTTCTTAGCCACTGTCACTTCCCTGTCTGCCTCAGAGACTAAGACCAAGGAGAAGATGGAGCTGGGGACTCTGATTTCCCAAAGCATCATGGGAGCCACTCCCTGTACATGGCAGCCCCTTTTCAGCCCATGCTAGCTAGGTTACCCCAGGGGTCTGGACTCCTGATCCAAGCTCCGAAGGAGCCACTGAACCTTTGCTTTGGGTCATCTGGGCCCCAGGTACCCTCAGCTACCCTCAGAGGGCCTCTTTCACGTTTTCTTTTTATTACTGGATACTATATTCCTAGCCCCTTTTATCTCTTACTTTGACATAAGGTCTTGTTGTACTGCCCAGGTTGGCCTTGAGCTTCCTCTTGCCTTCCTCAATCCTCTTGCCGTGGCCTACTGGGATTACAGGCAAGCGCTACATACATCACTTTCTTGCTCTGGCTCAATGTGACCAAGGTTTTTATATAAAAGGCCAGACAGAAATGATGTCAAGTTTGTGGGCCCAAGAGGCAAAACAGAAGCTATTAGGTACTAATACACAAAAAGAGAAAATAAGCATTCTTAAAATATTTACTGAGGGACCTTGAAATAAAATAATTCAACCCAGTTGTTTGGCAGTAGATTTGCTTACAAGAAGAAAGCATTCCTCTGTGTGTGTGTGTGTGTGACTGTCTTTATCTGGGATTCAGCGTTAGTGCCCGACAGTGCAAGGGCGAATCCACCTGCAGATACTGCTCTTGGCTTCTGCCGACCACTCTGGCTGCCCGAGACTCAGCACCGCACTCCGTGCTGCTGTCCCCCGGCCTTGGTGATGGCCCTCTCTTTCTGAACCTGTCAGTGCCCTATGGCCCAGGCCTCAGCCCTCTTGACAGATGCCCTCTCCAAAGCTGGGCTTATATAGTCCACT